CTCGGGATAGCTGAAACTTTTGCTGCAAAGTTTTTGCAGATACATGGAATTATTTGTGAAATTGCTACGCCCGCTCCACAGGGGAAGCAAAAAAATACATATTCCCCTCTAGTACAGTGATCTACGATCTCATTGCATTTTGATAGAGGTCCAGGCAAGTTGGTATGAGCCCTAATATGTTGTATAAAAAATTTCTGATCGCGATGCCAGATCAACTTTTGCAACTCCTGTAAGAGTTTGCAAACTGTACTATTAGGTTTGAAAGGTCCTGCAACATCCAGGGCCTTAACAGCATTCACAACATATGCCGAATCAGAAATTAGATTAAAGAAGAACAGGCAATTTCTAAACACTTCAAGGACAATTTTACATTCAATAATCTTGGGGAAGGCAGGCTGATATTGAAAGCACACTGGATCCTGATGCTCTATCATATAGGCTCCACAGCCAGTCTTGGATCCATCAGTGAAAATGTTTGGGGCTCCAGCAATAGGAGCAGCTGCAGTCATTTTAGGAAAAATGACCGGATGTTCCTTAAAAAATGACATTAGAGGGTGTTTTGGATAATGATTATCTATTTCTCCTGAAAACCCACAGCGCAGAATGGCCCAATCATCCACAGTTCCACAAAGGATCTTAACTTGTTGAGCAGTGTATGGGATTATGATCTTATTTGGTAGTCTCCCAAAATATTGAAGGCATTGCTGTATCCCATTTTGAGCCAAGTCAGCAACCACTGCATGATAGTATTCAATAGTTTTTCCTGGGGAGGATTTAGAATAAATCCATAGTAACGGACCATCTTGCCACAGCAAAGCTGTAGGCTGGGAGAATGTTGGGAGAACACACAAAAGAATATCCATGTTTTCTATTAGGCGTTTAAGGCTGGCATTTTATAATTCTGTCTCCACTTTCTTTAAAGCTTCTCTGGCTTCAGCGGTTAACTGCCTAGGTGAATCTAACGCTGAATCACCATTGAGAATATTATATAATGGTTTCAACTCATAATTAGGTAATTTTAAGTAACACCTTATCCAATTTATATCTCCCAACAACTTCTGAAAATCATTAAGGGTCTTTAAATTATCTTTTCTAATCTCCATCTTCTGTGGAATAACTGTGTGAGGGAGAATCTTAGCCCCTAGATAGTTAATAACAGTGTCCTTTTGTA